AGGAGATCACCCAAGACCCACTGTGCTGGGGCTAGAGACAACGGATATCATGTTCTAATTCATGACTGTTCTCTGGGGATCCTGTTTCCCTGCTGTTCTCATTACCGGTGGCTGTCTCTACTCTCTCTCTTTACTTCTGACTGCTACTTCCAGATCATCACACTCCCACCCCTGGCAGAAACCCACCACCACAAGGTTTCTCTTGTTTCCTGGTCTTTGTCATCTTCTATTGCCATGCACTGGGATTCACTGTTAGACTCCAGATCTATCTATCATCAGGCTGGGTGACTGAGCTGTTCACCTATGTAACCTACCTGCCTCTCTGTCTTCCCATCTGCTTGGTCTCCTCCTCTCTTCTTATCTTTTCATACAGGCTATGTTTATCACCCACTTCCTTAGTCCCATGCTGGATATTATCTTCAGCAGAATTTAACATCTCATTGCTACCTCAAACTTGGACCTCTTCTCTGAGCACCTCCTGCTTTTTCTTCCTTGACACCAGGACATCCCTAGGGCATCTCTTACGTCCTGTCTTCCCCTCCCAGGTATGACTCAGATTTCCAGTGGTCCCTTTTCTTTATTGGAAAGAGTAAGAATCCTGTGTCATACTTCTGCCTCATATCTCATTTCCACTCTACCAGGTTGTCATATCACCCTCATGTGATCTCTCATTTCCATCTATGTTTTTCTACTTCCACCATCACTCCTGTTCCAGTCCAAGGTACCATTATCTTACTTCTGGACCTCCAAAGAGCCTTCTACCTATCCTTCCTTCTTTCACTCTGAGGTCCCACTCTTTCCCAAGTCCAGGTCTTGCTCTGGCTATCTGTTTTAAAACATCATTAGGCTCTTCCTTCCTTAGTACATTTTGATGGTATCTCCACGCTTTTAGTATACAGACCCAAAATTGTGCAGTGGCCCATAGAGATGTTTGTGAGCTGGTTCCTCCCTATCCTTCCCTGGAACCACATTCCCTCTGGCTCTCTCTTCTCTAGTAATAACACTCAGTGATTAGGTTCAGTCTATTTTTTTAAAGAATTTATATATGTTGATAACTGATAAGTGATTCTCCAATTGCTTTTTAATATAAATCAGAAATTTTGTATCAACTGTTCTTACCTAGTGTTCCTTCAAAGCTCACTTATAACGACATGTTAGACTGTGAGTGCCAATAAAGCATGGCATAAAAGGCTTTCAGCATAAAGAAAAGTACCAGAACTTTTCTCAGACTTTATGTTGATAAATATATGGCATAATTGGACAATGTCCTAGCTCCCAGAATCATGCCACAATAAAACCTCATCACCGTGTTCTCTGATTAGGAAGTACTAGAAACGAAACAAACTAGCTCATTATAAACCTTCCCTCGCAAAACTGATTTCTTTGTGACACAAGAAATTTAAAAAATGCTTTTCATTAAACCATGAGAAATCAAGGAGTTAGAACCATTTAATATGAAAATATATTATCTGAACTGGTGCCAATTTTGGTTTAGTTTCTACATGGAACCCAAAAGATATGGATACTGGTTAAGTTACACGAGGGACACAAGACTGTCACATGATCGCTGTTCATTTTATCAAGACTATTAAATATCATACAGAACATGATTCACTTTGATGGAATCAATTAATATAATGGCATAGCAAACATTTGTGAGTCACTCTTTACTGGGAGAGCAACTTGACTCTAAAGAGCTGCGCCTCTTTATTTTTACATGGCCTAATCCAAAAGGTCATTTAGAGTTTCCTGTTTTCCTTCTTTTACTCTTGGATTCAAATGATGATCATTTTTCACATGTGCAGCTGTTATGAACCCAAAGGCTAATATGCAAAGGGAAGGAAATGTGCGAACCAATTGCAACTGTGCCAGACCCTCACACTGCTACCTCATGCTATGGTTCCCAGGCCATCCATGGGTTGCCTCCCAGTGTTGACAGAGACCGGGCTTTTTTTTTTCTTTTATCGAGTTTATTGGTACATTTTAGGCATACAGTACAGTTACATTCATTATTGGGATCTTGTACCTTTACATGACAGGTGGTCTTGGTTCTCATTTTTTCCCCTTGTCCCTGCTCTCCCAGAGACCGGGCTTTATGTTTAGAAAAGATGTCATGTAATTACTCTTCATTTAAGCCTAGGATACCTTGTTTTAAAACATCAAAGCTACTTTATAAAAAAACAAACTTCTTCTGCCATGAAGCCAGACACTTTTCCCTTTAATTGCATAAGTGATATGTCTTTTTTTGAAACTACTGGGATCTGCTTTCCTTCCCCCAGTCAGCTCCCTGTGTAGCAGGAGCTTTCACCGGGCCTGCATAAATATGATTTGGTCTGAAAAAATGTGGAGTGGCCCAGTATCTATTGGTCAGTTATTTTCTTGGCCATTCCTTCTGGGTCATTCATGTCTGTGCCTCCTGCTATTTATGTGCACTAGTACACACACACACACACACACACACACACACACACACATATCTCCTGTTGAGGGAATGCAAACATCTCTCTTTTCCTGAAAAAATGCTCATTCTGTTTAGGCCAACTCAAATGGGTATTTTCTGAAGAATCACCTAAAGTTAGCACTGTAAGTATTTATAGGCCAATATCAATACCATTATCCTAGAACAAACTAATTTTAAGAGACAATACATTATTAGTACAGTAGTATTTCTTTACTTATGGTTTTACTTTCCCTGGTTTCAGTTACCCAGAGTCAACTGTGGTCTAAAAATATTAAATGAAAAATTTCAAAAGCAAGCAATTCATAAGTTTTAAGTAACGTTAAAAATTTTATTTATTTGCTTGTTTGTTTGTTTTGTAGTAGTAGAGATCGAAAGATTGAAGCATGGGCCTTCACACTGAGCTACATCCCCAGTAGATTTCTTTAATTTAAATTTTGAGACAGGGTCTCATTAAGTCATTAAGTTGCCCAGTCTGAGTTTGAACTTGTGATTCTCCTGCCCTGGCTCCACAGAGTTGCTGGGATTACAGGTGTGCACCACCATGTCTGGATAAATTATATTATATTATATTATATTATATGAATCATTTCATTTTATTACTAGTCATTGTTATTGATCCCTTATTGTGTATATTTATGAATTAAACTTTGTCATACATACATATGTACATATAGAAAAAACATATTATATATGAGGCTCAGAACTATCCATGGCTTTGTGCTTCTCTGCATCATTGAAATATATCCTTAGGAAAGAAGGCAGGATGCCTGAACCAACCTGAGTGCTTCCTTAAATATGGTACTCACGCAGAAAACTGCTCTAACCTAGACGGGTAAATGTACTGAACTGCAGGAACAGAACGAGCAAAAACGCTAGAAGAATGCTGCTGGATACTAATATTCAAGACATTGAAAATAAGAGCAGAAACTATCCAATTAAATATAATACAATAGTTTTGGATAATGATATGTAGCTAGACAATTCCTTGCCATCATTATTTCAGGAGCAGATTTGTCTGGGCTAGGGCAAGCCTTGGTGAGTATTCTGCTTAATATGGACCAGGTTTCTCGAGTTAGAAGTTACACATCTGAAACTCATAAAAATACTCTTCTTCAACATACCCTTTTAGTCCAATGGACTCGTATTTCCCGATGTGGGGGACTGGGTATTGTTTTTGGTAATTGTTGTTTTGTTTTTTGCAATGCTAGAGATAGAATCTAGGGACTCGTGCATGCTAGGTAAGCACTGTATCTAAGGTGCACCCCTAAGCCCTCAGGCTTAGAATTTCTAAAGGTTCCACAAGTGATTCTGCTGTACCGCCCAGGGTAGGCATCATTGATGCTTTTACTTCCTTATGACAATTTGAGGTAAACATTTGACATGGCTGGAAGTATTTTTGCTTGGGGTAGTGCTGCTGACATCTACTGAGTAGAGGTCAAGGATACTGTTAAATATCCCACAGTTGACAGGACAATCCCTACCGTATAGATTTTTCCAGTCAAAAAATGTCAATAATAACAAGGGTGAGAAGTACCACACTAAGGGAAACAAAACAATGATTTTCCACTAGAAGAATGCTTCATCACCGAACATCAGGAGCCAGGGTCATGACTCTTAAGGCACAGTTCAAGATATAGGTGTGGTGACTGATATCAGTGGTGTGGAAAAAATAGCTCTTGTCCAGTACTGATTATTTTTTAAAACCCTGAGTTTCACTGTTTCCACCACTTTTCAAGTAGAAATTCAATCATTACATAAAAGAACTTGAAGGTGAGATATGTTTATTCTCATATGACACTCTTTCACCGTGTCATAGAAAATGAAAATATAGTCATATGATCACACCAGTCAACAATCATCTCATATGAGACCCTAAGAATAAGCCACAAAAATGAACTGCGTTCATGAAGCCCAGGTGCCCATTATGCAGGCTCAGTGCATATTAGTTCAAAATGACCACGCATATCTCTGAAAAGGTGGCTAAAGTGTCAGTTCTCTAAAGAGACACAGAAGGGGACAGAAAACCTTATGAGAGTCAGCAAGTCTCACAACATACGGGGTGAAAAGTAAGGATGCTGTGATCAACATGAAAATGCTGAGAGTGGCACATCTTCAGTTACCCATGAGGCTGAAACTGTTTCTTCTCGGCAGTTATGGTGAGCAAATCCAAAATCTTTCACATTCGACTAGCCCTGCCTAACTGCTTGAATTTGCCAGACAGCTGGTTAGTGTTAGTGACGCTGTCCATGGCTACTCGACCCAGGTCCTTTTTTATGCATAGCTGATTGGCCAGAATAATTGGAACCATACATTTGGCCAAAGTCATACTTTGCTCAAACCAGCTGAATTCATCAGTTCAGCATAGGGATACTCAAACACAGAAGAATAGACCAAAACATCCCTAAGTGACATTCCATCAGAGAAGTCCAGTTTGCATAATAGATTGAACCACAGAAGTCTATGCGACTCAAAAACCTCACCAAATTCAACCGTTATGTTCCATGGAATATACTTATGCTTTAGTTGTTTCATTCTTTACCTCTGTCTTTGTTTTTCTCTTTTCCTAGGGAATCCAGTTTCTTTCTCAAAGATTTCTTTCTCTTTTGTCCATCTGTAAATGTAAAAACAACAAGAAGTTGTAAAAATAAGCATACATGTGATATTTTACATTTTAAATATATTTGAACAAAAGTATGACTTCCCTCTTACTTTGCTCATAATTTGTCATTTTATTTAGAAGAACTGCCATGAGAGTACATGAAAATCTCTGACTTGGTTAGGCTATAGAATCAGAATCTTGATGTAGTTCCTTAAATTTTCTTATAGTCATAGGCAGTACAGAAAACCTCCTTTCTTCAGATATAACTTAGCTTTGACATGTAGATAGATATGTTCGCTTTTACTATTATATAATTCTTTTCCTATTCTCCATGGTTTTGCAAATTGAACGAAATCTTCACAAGAGAGTCAACAGTATATATATAGCTTTGATATTTACGAGCTAGTGCAGTTTAATTGGATAAGGAAATGCATCTAGTGGTCTGCAGAACTGAAGTCTAATTATTTCTCTACCATTTACTGACTGAGTTACTTTGGAGAAGTCTTAGAGTTCATATAAAAAAATAAGAATACCATGTGGTTGTGAGAATTCAATGAAACAATACATATAAATTGCTTAATGTTGAGTCTGACACATGTTCATAAATCTGGTCTACTTTGTGGGGGTTACATAGTATTCCATGGTTTAGCTAGCTGCAGTGCAGTTTGCTTAATCATCCCTCCATTAATGGATGTTGGGGTTTTTTCTAATTTTTCACTATAATAAGTAGGGAATATTTCCTTTTAGCATCTGGTGTTTGCAACAAATGTACTTCATATGTCTGTTTAACTCACCAAATAATAAAGATACCACTCATATCAGTGGGCAGCTGCAATCAAATTCTTGGGATGTCATCACAAAATATTGGCATTAATCATTGCCAGAATGTGTTTGGGGATTGTGCAGCTGTCAGCTTACCATGTGGGAGGTGTGAATTGGGAATCCACACTGTGATCAAATAGCAGAGGTACAGTCTGTGCCCCAAAGAAATGTAGCTTTAAAAGGAGGACTAAGAATTCTTTTACAAGACATGCTAAAAATGTAGTAAAGAGATTCATCTGAATAAAATTTAAAAACAAGACTGATATCCGGAAAAGACGGAGTAAGCATTCTGAAATAGAAATGAGCACTTCTGGGATCCCCACAGAGCTGCAGATGTTCCTGGCTCCTCCCTCTGTGAATTTTTGGAGGCAATAGAACATCACAATAAAGTTAACAGTCACATTTGACACCTCCCCTCTTTCGAAGATTAAAAAATCATCCTCCTGCCACAAAATGAAAATAGCTGAAAGTTTTCACCCTTGTAGTCATGAGGTTTGAGTAGAGAAAATTATGGAAATCACTTGTAATGTGGCAAAGAGCCACAAATCCGTTGACCATTTATATGTTCAGATCTTCAACATCTAAAAGTTTATCTATGATGGCCTATTATGACACTATATATACACAGACAAACATACTGACTGCACAAGACAGTAACCTGCTGTAAATTCTGTAGGTAGCTGTAGATGATTCTCTGTGATCACTATCTAGTCTTTCTTCTTGTATAAATATGCCATATTTCATTCTCCCATTGGATGGTTGATCGATTCTCATGTTGTATATGGCTTGGGGCTACTAGGAATAATGTTTTTTAAAAATCAATTTATGTCTCCTGTGCATGCACTAAAATCTCTCTAAGATGGTACTTTTGAATGCATAGTTCCAGAACTAGCAGCATCAATATTGCCTGGGAACCCGTAAGAGATGCAAATTCTCCATGGTTCCACTCAGACCCACTGAAACTGGGGTGGCACCAGCCATGTGTGTCTTAACACACTCTGAAAGAATTCTGGTCTACACTAAAGTCTGACAGCCGCTGTTCTAGGATATATACATAGAAGCCGCACTGCTGAATCAGTATGTATGCAATCTTAGGTTTTACAAGGTAAATCAATATTTCTATTCCCACCAGTAGGAAAGTTCACCTCACCCCACAAGGATAGTGTGTATCTTAAACTCCCAAACTCCAAATAATATCTTCAATTCTCCTTACAGCCAAAATATGATTTTTTTGTGAATAATGACCTATAATTAAAAACACTTATCTATTTACAGTGCACATTATCTTTTTCACTTAATTAGACAGAGGTGAATATGATTAATAGGCAACTGTACAAAACAATCGGTGATATGTGACAGTGTGAAATGATGCAGTGCTTTAGCATCTATCTAGTTCCTCCTTTTACATTATCAAACAAGTGACCAGAGCTGTACGATGAAGCTTCTTATTTTTTTCTCTTTGCCCTTGTGATCAATCAGCAGTTTACCTGGGAGTCTCCTGTTTGTGGAGAAAGACTCATCGTTTGTTCCCATAGAACACTAAAAATCTTATCAAGAGGATGCCATATTAGTGCCAGTTCCCTACCATTCGTGTTCAATCATCTCGTTGGATGGCAATAAGTGAAATAAGTGCCACTCTGCATTTGACTTAGTCCATTTTCTGCTGCTGTAACAGAATACAGAGTGGGTAGTTTATATAACAAAGTTTACATGGGTCACAGTTCTGGAAACTGGGAAGTCTGAAGAAGGTCTCTATGCTGTGTCATCACATGGTAGAAGGCATCGTATGGGTGAGAGAGGGAGAAACAGAACTTGCAGCCTCATGCCCTTTTATAAAAAAGTATTAATCCATTTATAAGGGTAAAGCTCTCATGACTTAAATACCTCCCATTAGGCCCCACCTCTCACGTAGTTGCACTGGGGAGTAAGTTTCCAATACATGCTTCTTTTAGTCCCCTCTATCGGGGGACACATTCCAACCACAGCATTCTAAAAATCTCAAACCCCCAACTAACAACGACCATAGAAATGCTTTTATGGTGTAAACAGTGCTGAGAACATGTATGCTTACTGCTTCTAGCATGCCCATCGTCTCACAGACAACAGCGACCTGTAGGAGGAACTTGGGCAACACAGCCTGACCGAGAGCATCTTGGAGCAAGAACTGAGGGATTGGCTTGCATGTGCCCTCCTTTTGCCAGGCACTGCAGAAGTCCTCATCACTATGCCCAAAGGAGGCCACATCCTACAGGTGGGAGACCTCACAGAAACAAACCGCAGAAAAGCAGATGGCAAGGCTGCAAGCTTGCCATGTCCTAGTGGCTCCAAAGAAAAGGGCCTGTCCTGAAAGCTAGGTGTGGCTGATCTGGGGATATTTTTGGAGGAGATCAATGTATTAAGCAGGCTCTTCAGGAGAACTGAGACTCTAGGCCACAATTTTCATGAACTTATTTGCTCTTGGTCATATTCTATTTTAAGATGTATTTGTTTCTCATGCTAGAATAGAAGCTCTCAGAGAGCAGAATCATAGCTCCTGGGCTTTTGTTTCCCTCCAAGAAAATAGCACAGGGCAACTTGTTGGCACTGTCCAAAGCCAGGAAGTCAGAGGTTTGGGGCTGGGTCTGATGGAACCCAGGAACAATGAATGAACAATGAACTGTTCCTCCTAATTTTAAGGTGCTCAGATTCAGAGAATATGGCTCATGAAATGCTATTTTCCATATTTAATTCTAGATCTAATAGCAAAATATTTTCTGAGGAAAGACTCGCTTGGTGAGAGATGAAGACTAAGGGTTACCTTTGGGAAATGTATACTACTTGAGAAGAGGCATAAGGGAGCCTTTTGGGGAACAAGAAGGTTCGATGTCTTGGTCTAGTTGGTAGTTCCATGATATATACATATTTAAATCCCACCAAGATACACTTGTCCACTTTCATAGTTATGCACAATACTATATACACATTATATCTCAGCAACAAAAACAACAAGAAACAATTTCATCATTTTAATACAATGGCACCAACATAAAAATTACACTAACCTGAAGTGGGCTGAAAACAGCAGGAAAGTCCTGCAGAAAACAATTCTTGCGTGGTTCACTTTTCTAAATGTCTGAATACTGTGATCTCATTTGAGCACCTCTACTTCCCTGTGACACAGGCACATAGTAGTAAGGATCAGTGTTTATTGGGCATGCGCTATAAGATAAGCAAATCGTATGCAAAACCTCGTTATATCCTCATAGTAGCTCAACAAAACCTATACACTATTATTGTTCCTATTGTATGGAGGAGGAAACCAGGGTTAGAAAAGATTAAATAACTTGCCAATGGGCAAACATTGTGATATGGTAAATCCAAAACTTGCATCAAGAGCTATCTAATGTAAAAAGATGAAGTTCTTAATCTCTACCATGGCTGTGTGAAGGAAATATGGCACTTATCTGAGGATGTGCCAGTAGGGTTAGATATATGGACAGACATGTCCAAAGTAAAATGTTGTTAGGGAGGGAGGGGAAAGAGAAACTAAAAAATTTGAATCTCTAAATAGCCACAAGGCCTGGTGTAAGTCATTTTTATATGATGATTTTTTTAAGGTTGTGACATTTATTGTAGAGTATTGTGATCATAGTTGTAAGTATTATATATTAGTTACTTCCCTAATGTTGGGGCAAAACACCCAACACCCAAAACTTAAAAGAGGAGAAATTTATTTTGGCCCACAGTTTCACAGGATTGAGTGACAATAAATTTTATATTTATGTGATATTATCTAATATACAATAACAGACAATCCACTGAGTTAGCTTTCTGATCTATACATTTGACAGTTGAAGGAAGTGAAAAATCAAAGAATTAAAGCAAATTCTCCTAAAGTCACAGAACTGGTATGTGGTACAGCTAGGATTGAAAGCCAAAGTCCAGCTCTTTCCAACAAGCAAGGATCTGGCATGAGAAGAGTGGCTGTGGCTGAGAGCAGAACTCAGATGCCCACGGATGAGAAGCCAGAAGTCTTTTTGAAGGTCACTTTGCCTCCGCAGCCTAAGGAGAAGGTTCGGGATTCTTTTCCCTGGGAACTGTTCATAAAGCCATGGATATCCCTCTGTGGGGATCACTTAGACTCTGTTCTCAAAGAAATCCAAATCAAGAGCAAGCAGGCACCATGGCTCATTCGTTAGTGAGGGAGTCAG